TCCATCCATCCATCCATCCATCCATTTATTCATTCAGCTAACCATCCATCCATCCATCCATCCATCCATCCATCCATCCATCCATCCATCCATCCGTTTATTCATTCAGCTCACCATGTTTCTTCATACCACAGTGATCCTTTAAAAATGACCTACCCTCTCCATCCCTTCCAAACTCATCTTCTACCCCTCCCACCCTCCTGCGCCTGCTCCAGCCCACTGGCCTTATCTTGATTGTGGATGGTCACCCTCACTTCAGTGCCTTTGCATTAGTTGTCCCTCGGCTTCAGGCACCTTCCTGTGCATGCTCAATCTCTCACTTCAGCTCTCTGCTCAAATGTTACCCCCTTACAGACATCTTCCCAACCATCCTAGCTAAAATCCCCCCTCCTCTGTCACTCTATTCCTTGACCCTACTTTACTTTTCTTCTTCACACTTAGCACTGCTACCTGAAATAACATGATAGGTTTATTTGTTTTTTGTCTGTGCCTCCACCAGCTCCATGAAGGCAGGAGTCTTCTTTGGTTCACTGCTGTGTCCCCAGGACCTAGGACAGAGTCTAAACCATAAAGTAGTAGATGCTTAACAAGTGTTAGTTGAATAAATAAGTGACCTCCCTGAGTCTCAGGTTTCTCAACTGCAAAATAATAGATGCCCTACTGGATTGTATTTTTGTATGCCCCATCATTAGGCGGGGCAATGAAAACCTCTAGCACAATGTCTGGTACATAGTAGGTGCTCTATAAATGCTTACTATGATTATTTTAAAAGGTTTCATGATGAGGGGTGGGGTGCCATTCTCATCAGAAACCTGTTTTGTAAGACTCAAGTTAACACTGTCACCAAACTGGAAGGGACCCCCAGAGGTTATTCATTCATATTTCTGTCCCCAGGCAGGAGGGCCTGTGGCCTGGCTCAGACCCTTGTCGTGCTGACCTATGTTGCTTATCTAGACCCTCAAGTCAGGTCACTCCTCTCATTATTCTTTCCACCAATGTAAGGACAGTGTGTTCTTTCAGGGCTATTTGGGGCTCCCTTGCTGTGGGAGTACAGATTTTCACTTTTTGAAACCCAAAGCTCACTTGTGCCTCTCATGGGGGTCTGGTGGGAGGGTTTCTCGGGGTAGTGGCATGTTTTGGGGGCTGTACAAGGAGCTCTTGGCACTACCACTGTGTGTGGCACTACCACTTTCCCTCTTTCCTTGTGATTTGATGGCTTTCTTTAGTATTATGTTTAGATTTCTTTCTCATTTTCTTTTATGTGTTGACTATAAGTTCTTCCCTTGAGGTTCACATATAACTTCCTACATAAATAGCAGTCTGTTTTAAGTTGATAGGAACTTAAATTTGAACTCATTCCAAAGCTTTACCTTTTTACTCTCCCTACCCCATGATTTATATTTTTGGTGTCACATTTTACATCTTTTTATTTTATGCAACCATTAACTATTTATGGTAATTTTAGTTAATTTCATTAAACTTTTGTCTTTTAACCTTCATGCTTGGTTTATATGTGATTCATCCACTACCTTTGTTATATATTTACCTTTTCTAGTGAGATTTTTACTTTCGAATGTTTTCTTATTATTGACTAATGCCATTGCTTTTCAGCTTAAAGAAGTCCCTTTAACATTTCCTGTAAGGCTGGCTTAGTAGTGATGATCTCTAGTTTTTGCTTCTCTGGGAAACTCTTTTTTTTTTTTTTTTT